GCTGGTTATACAGACTGGTACTGAGCCTGGCACAGACACAGCCCTGGTTATACAGACTGGTACTGAGCCTGGCACAGACACAGTACTGGTTATACAGACTGGTACTGAGCCTGGCACAGACACAGCGCTGGTTATACAGACTGGTACTGAGCCTGGCACAGACACCTGCTGTACGTTTACGTTTGGATAATTTTTCCCTCTTTACGAATCCTATCATGCGCACCAGGCGTTCGATCACGTTGGAGCACTAGTGGGTATTTCCACACTAAAAGGTGTCCAACCTAAAGGAGCTTTGTAGTTCGCGAATGCGTTGTTGTGAGGGGTTATAGTAGGTCGCGGATCGCTGTCGATTCGTGTTTAGTCTCGAAGTAGACAAGGTCAAATAAACTCATTTTTTATGAAAATCCCTCACGATGGTGAATGCCTTTATAAGCAGGGGTGTTTTACACGGAATTATTGGGTTTGGTTTTGGTCTGTTCAGTCCCCGGTGAACATGTGACTCAGCGGCCGTCGCTATCAGCGCTGGGACTTGCATTTTAGGACAGGACACTGTCTCTCAAAGCCCGGTAGAATTAAGTACCTAACTGCCAGCCGAAGTAAAATCAGACGTGAGGTCCGACTTGTAACCCAGCGCTCTTGAGTTATTAAGTGCACTCAGGGACGGCAGAGGCGACTGGTTCGGCTTTCACCTCCTCTGGTCTTGCAGGAGCGAAGCCCGACGACGCCCGAGCATACCCGAAGGCTGCCGACTCCCAGGCCCAGGCGTGAGTAATCGAGCCTCAGGAAACCGGCCCGGGTCCAGAAGAGTTATTAAGAGTGAAAACACGCGGACTGAGGGTCGGTGAGCACAGTGCTTGCAGACAAGGTGAGCGTGTTCTGAGGGGGGCGCTGAAAGAGTAGCGTACATCTGTCCATCTTCGAACCTCTTCAGGACCGTGGGGGAGCTGGAGCCTATCCCAGCAAGCACTTGGTGCAAGGCGGGGTACATCCTGGATGGGACGCCAGTCCGTCACAGGGCACACGCACACACACACACTCACACACACACACACACACACACACACACACACACACACACTCACTCACTCACTCACTCACTCACTCACTCCAGGGTCTTTGGACTGTGGGTTTAAACCCACGCAAACACGGGGAGAACATGCAGACTCCACACAGACAGCCCCCCCCAGCCCCTGACGGAGACGAGAATCTCCCCCTGGTGTCGCCCCTGCTTGATCCAGGACGCCCGCTCCCGGCGTGAAGCAGTGTGTCCTGTCTGGGGCGGCCCGGGTTCGAGGGAGGGGAAGAAGCAGAGGAGGATGGACAGAGGGCGGAGAGGAGGAGGAGGAGGAAGAGGAGGAAGGCACAGAAGCCGCAGATCGGAGCAGGTGAGAGGAGCTCAGGAGCGTGGCTCTCCTGGAGTCTGGGTGCGCCATCAAGCCCCCTGCCCCCTGTCTTCTGTCTTCTGCCCTCTGCCCTCTGCCCTCTGCCCTCTGCCCTCTGCCCTCTGACCTCTGCCCTCTGCCCCCTGTTCCCTGTCCCCTGCCCCCTGTCCCCATCTCCTAGCCCCTCTGGCCAGCTGGCTCCTGTGACTGGGCCTCAGTTCTCTGCCGGCCCTGGTCCTGGTCCAGCTCACTTTTCTGACCCCCCCCTCCACTGCAGGACCCGGACGTCCGCCTGTCCAAGGCGCTGTCCTTCGCTCTGCGCCACGGGGCGTCCCAGCTGGGCCTGGACATGAGCTCAGGTGAGAGGGCTTACAGAGGTTTCAAATCTTCAGCTAATAAATTAGAGTTCAAACGGGACGGATCAGTGTTTGGTTCAGCGCTGGAAACCCCCGGCGCCCTCACCCGACCTCTGACCTCTCGTTCCAGACGGGTTCGTGTCGGTGGCGGAGCTGCTGTCACGCCCCCAGTTCCGCGCGTACTCATTGGCCGACGTGAGGAGGGTGGTGGAGACCAATGACAAGCAGCGCTTCAGGCTCCGCCCACGCCCGGGGGACGGGCGGCTGGAGATCCGGGCCAATCAGGGGCACTCGGTGCAGGTGGGCGGGGCTTAACCTCTTCCTGGCGGACGATCAGATCCCAGGAGGAGGGAGTAAAAACCGCCAGGAATCGCCGGTCATCCCTGTCTCTCTGCCCCTTTTTGCCCAGGTGGACGACCTGGAGTTGACCCCAGTTGTCCCCGGCTCGGACAACGTGCCCTCCTGTGCCGTCCACGGGACGTACCTGCGCCACTGGGAGTCCATTCGAAGCCGGGGCCTGAGCAGGATGTCCCGGACCCACATCCACCTGAGCCCGGGGCTGCCCGGGGAGGAGGGCGTCGTCAGCGGTCAGTTCTCGCGCTCGAGCCCACCCCCGCGCCCTGCCCGCCGCAGGCTGACCGCCCTCGCTGTCCCCTCCTGCAGGTATGCGCGGGGACTGCAGCCTGGCCATCTTCATCGACGTGTCCGGGGCTCTGCAGGGTAAGGCTGAGGAGTCCGGCCCCCGAGCGCCGCGTCCGGCCTGTGAACTGACCCCCCGGCCTGTGACCCTTCCACAGACGGCATCCCTTTCTTCTGGTCCGACAACGGGGTGATCCTGACGCCTGGAGACGCGGAGGGCAGACTGGCGCCCCGATACTTCGCCCGGGCCCTGAGGCTCACGGAGCCCCGTGAGTAACACGCAGAACACCCCGAAAGGTCAGACAGGGGCGCCCCAGGAGGAGAGCAGCTGGGGTCTGGCCCCCCCACTACAATTGTAGGCATGTTCTACCCCCTAGGGTGACCAGCAGGGGGTGCTCTTATGCAGGCTTGCCTCTAACCACACCCTTCTCCCCTCCTCACTTCCTGTCTGACAGGGAGGGAACTTCCTCTGGAACCGAGAGGGGGCGTGGCCGGAGAGCAGCTGACCACGCCCACACCACAGTGAAGCACGGGGGGGGGGGGATGCGGGGGCTGGCAATGTTGCCATGGAGACGGCCCGGCGTGGGAGGAGCCTGGCGGAGAGAGTCCACAGTAACTGTGATGAGCTTCATGCAGACGCACTGGGCCCACTGCGCTGTGTGTCACTGTCTTAATTAATACCTCAATTAAAGGCACATCTGTGAGGATCACACTGCTAGACCTC